CGGGAAAAGTACGTCCTTAAATTAACTTATAACCCTTCTCTCCTTTTATGCACCCACGACGGCGGTAAAATTCGTTTCATGTCTGTTTCATGGAGAGAAAGGAAAATACGCCTCCGGAATTGCAATCAACAATTACAATTACACATTCTTATTTATCATTATCAGCGCTAAATAATAAAGATAAGATATGGTAATGACAAAAGTCTGTCGGTTTTAATTGTATTACGGTCACAAATATTCTGGACATTAATATCATAACCTCGCATATCAATGAGAAATGGATGCAATGTCGCAAAATTCCGAAAAATGCCACGTGCTTTTAACATTCCTGGTTACAATGCAATGGCTGTTAATAAGGCATATGATATGTGTTTTGTGAATTTGATGATTTTGCAAAGTTTCTTCTAATTCAAAAATAACTGCATAAGCGTACATTATATTACTAAATAATGTCGTGTCGGGTTTCAGAACTTTCTAAATCCAGTAAAATCTCTTAAGAAGGGAACAAAGGCTCGTCAAACTTGCACCAGAAAATCGTTTCATTTTTTGGCAATTCGTGGATGTCACATGACCACACTCTCGTTCAAAGAAACTCACGCGATTACGCCGTTGGAGCGTTTTGCGGGAGAAGCGGAATACGCGTGCTTGTATAATAATCATATTATTAACAAGAATTTTGCGGTTAATGCAAAAGCTTTATCTTCTATGTCTGCATCTCATAGGTTAGAATTCCGGTAAATATCCTTATGATATGCAGAATTGAGTTACAAAAGTACTGGTATGTTACTTATTTGACAACTTAAGACTCACATAAACATATTTTTCAATTTTGAATTTTTTTTCCTTTCAAAATCAGAAAAAAGTGCTATTTCTCTTCAAAATCGGAAAAAAGTGCTATTTCGCAGTCCCTAAAAAAAGTTGCGAAAGTGCTTCGCACTTTTCGCAAAAAAGTGCGCTAATAGTGAACACTGGGCTAGACCCAACAGCAATAAGTTTTGGCTTAGACCCTTGGGCTAGGATCAAACAAAAATAAGTTTGGGCTAGACCCAACAGCAATAAGTTTTGGCTTAGACCCTTGGGCTAGGATCAAACAAAAATAAGTTTGGGCTAGATCCAACAGCAATAAGTTTTGGCTTAGACCCTTGGGCTAGGATCAAACAAAAATAAGTTTGGGCTAGACCCAACAGCAATAAGTTTTGGCTTAGACCCTTGGGCTAGGATCAAACAAAAATAAGTTTGGGCTAGACCCAACAGCAATAAGTTTTGGCTTAGACCCTTGGGCTAGGATCAAACAAAAATAAGTTTGGGCTAGACCCAACAGAAATAAGTTTTGGCTTAGACCCTTGGGCTAGGATCAAACAAAAATAAGTTGGGCTAGAATCAAACAAAAGTAAGTTTGGGCTAGACCCAACAGCAATAAGTTTTGGCTTAGACCCTTGGGCTAGGATCAAACAAAAATAAGTTTGGGCTAGACCCAACAGCAATAAGTTTTGGCTTAGACCCTTGGGCTAGGATCAAACAAAAATAAGTTTAGGCTAGACCCAACAGCAATAAGTTTTGGCTTAGGCCCTTGGGCTAGGATCAAACAAAAATAAGTTTGGGCTAGACCCAACAGCAATAAGTTTTGGCTTAGACCCTTGGGCTAGGATCAAACAAAAATAGGTTTGGGCTAGACCCAACAGCAATAAGTTTTGGCTTAGACCCTTGGGCTAGGATCAAACAAAAATAAGTTTGGGCTAGACCCAACAGAAATAAGTTTTGGCTTAGACCCTTGGGCTATGATCAAACAAAAATAAGTTGGGCTAGAATCAAACAAAAGTAAGCTTGGGCTAGACCCAACAGCAATAAGTTTTGGCTTAGACCCTTGAGCTAGGATCAAACAAAAATAAATTTGGGCTAGACCCAACAGAAATAATTTTTTGCTTAGACCCTTGGGCTAGGATCAAACAAAAATAGGTTTGGGCTAGACCCAACAGCAATAAGTTTTGGCTTAGACCCTTGGGAGGGGATCAAACAAAAATAAGTTTGGGCTAGACCCAACAACAATAAGTTTTGGCTTAGACCCTTGGGCTAGGATCAAACAAAAATAAGTTTGGGCTAGACCCAACAGAAATAAGTTTTGGCTTAGACCCTTGGGCTAGGATCAAACAAAAATAAGTTGGGCTAGAATCAAACAAAAGTAAGTTTGGGCTAGACCCAAAAGCAATAAGTTTTGGCTTAGACCCTTGGGCTAGGATCAAACAAAAATAAGTTTGGGCTAGACCCAACAGCAATAAGTTTTGGCTTAGACCCTTGGGCTAGGATCAAACAAAAATAAGTTTAGGCTAGACCCAACAGCAATAAGTTTTGGCTTAGGCCCTTGGGCTAGGATCAAACAAAAATAAGTTTGGGCTAGACCCAACAGCAATAAGTTTTGGCTTAGACCCTTGGGCTAGGATCAAACAAAAATAGGTTTGGGCTAGACCCAACAGCAATAAGTTTTGGCTTAGACCCTTGGGCTAGGTTCAAACAAAAATAAGTTTGGGCTAGACCCAACAGCAATAAGTTTTGGTTTAGACCCTTGGGCTAGGATCAAACAAAAATAAGTTTGGGCTAGACCCAACAGAAATAAGTTTTGGCTTAGACCCTTGGGCTAGGATCAAACAAAAATAAGTTGGGCTAGAATCAAACAAAAGTAGGCTAGGATCAAACAAAAATAAGTTTGGGCTAGACCCAACAGCAATAAGTTTTGGCTTAGACCCTTGGGCTAGGATCAAACAAAAATAAGTTTGGGCTAGACCCAACAGCAATAAGTTTTGGCTTAGACCCTTGGGCTAGGATCAAACAAAAATAGGTTTGGGCTAGACCCAACAGCAATAAGTTTTGGCTTAGACCCTTGGGCTAGGATCAAACAAAAATAAGTTTGGGCTAGACCCAACAGCAATAAGTTTTGGCTTAGACCCTTGGGCTAGGATCAAACAAAAATAAGTTTGGGCTAGACCCTACAGAAATAAGTTTTGGCTTAGGCCTTAGACCCTTGGGCTAGGATCAAACAAAAATAAGTTGGGCTAGAATCAAACAAAAGTAAGTTGGGCTAGAATCAAACAAAAGTAAGTTTGGGCTAGACCCAACAGCAATAAGTTTTGGCTTAGACCCTTGGGCTAGGATCAAACAAAAATAAGTTTGGGCTAGACCCAACAGCAATAAGTTTTGGCTTAGACCCTTGGGCTAGGATCAAACAAAAATAAGTTTGGGCTAGACCCAACAGCAATAAGTTTTGGCTTAGACCCTTGGGCTAGGATCAAACAAAAATAAGTTTGGGCTAGACCCAACAGCAATAAGTTTTGGCTTAGACCCTTGGGCTAGGATCAAACAAAAATAAGTTTGGGCTAGACCCAACAGCAATAAGTTTTGGCTTAGACCCTTGGGCTAGGATCAAACAAAAATAAGTTTGGGCTAGACCCAACAGAAATAAGTTTTGGCTTAGACCCTTGGGCTAGGATCAAACAAAAATAAGTTGGGCTAGAATCAAACAAAAGTAAGTTTGGGCTAGACCCAACAGCAATAAGTTTTGGCTTAGATCCTTGGGCTAGGATCAAACAAAAATAAGTTTGGGCTAGACCCAACAGCGATAAGTTTTGGCTTAGACCCTTGGGCTAGGATCAAACAAAAATAAGTTTGGTCTAGACTCAACAGAAATAGATGCTATCAGGGGGGGCGCGAGAGGACACAAGATGGCAACGAAAATTTTCATGCAACTTCTTCTGAAACGGTCGCGTTTGTTCAAAATGCCGGCTTTTTCTAATAATAAATTTTTCTGCCCCCAAATTTTCAATCTATTAATCTCTATTTTACTACATTTGTGTTCAAGGTAACTCGCCTTTGCGGCGACTCATGACAAAATAAACTCATTACCGATCTAAAATACCACTCCAATCCGCGGACATAATAATGCGAGATCAACCGCCCAATTATATTAAGTTTTGATATGTATTGCGCTCATGCGAATTCGTTATCGTCGTTAAAAAGATCTGGTATAAAGTCACGGAAAGAATATTTAATTTAGTACAAAGAAAATAATATAAAGTATATTGGTAAATCAAAAATACATATTCTTCACACGCTCTTGAGTCAGTTGTCGAGATTACGCAACTTGTTAAAAGAGCCGACTTTTTCAACAGATATTATTATTTAATGGTTTTTCTGTCAATTCATGATCGATATACATATTTAAAATGGTTTCGTTATTATTTGTGATAAACTAAATCTGCGATTGTGTCGATAAAATATACATACGACTGTAAATGGCGAAGTCGTACTCTATAAGTTTTATGCCTAAACAATCAGAGCAATAACGCTCTGAGACCAACACTCTTACAGCGCCATCTTAATATAAGCAACATGATCATCACAAAAGCATTTTTTCAATGCAAAAGGGAGGAGAGCGCGAAGTTTGTAAAAATTTTCAAACGGTGGCGCGCTCAAAAAGTTTGAGAACCACTGGCTTAGACCCTTGGGCTAACATCAAACAAAAATAGGTTTGGGTGACCCAACAGCGATAATACATCTCAAATTTGCAAGAATAGAAAGACTGGGATCCATAATTAGACTATGAGATAACAAGTGAACTTGGTATTACGTAGAATGAGATTATGTTATTATTATTTATTTATATTATTTTGTGATTGCACTCATATTTAGGATATATGATATTACACTGCACTGCATATAGAATCCGGGCAATAAAAATTTAGGTTAATACGAGCCTACTAAAGATTGTTTGGTCAACTTTTTTCTGTAGAAATTTCCCACTTCAATTTTCAACAACCTGAAAAGTCTGGAATTTGAAATGAAAATATGCTGAACCAAAACTCTGATTCGCAAAGTAGAATTTTTATAGTGCAATCGCCAAGTTGAGCTAGAACAGGTTTGCAAAATGCAATCAATAATATGTTGTATATTATGATATATATGTATTAATGAATGTCTTATGACTTGAAACCTAATATTGACAAAACAATATGATCTTTAATGCAGCAAGTTCAATATTAGTGACAGACCCATTAGTTATAATACATACAATAAAATAAACTCTCGGTTTTTAATGGGCACTTGCGGAACCCTAGATCACTGCAAACCCCGATTGAAAACCTCTGCGTTTAAAAGTAGTTGACGATTACTCATCTCCATAATCTTAAAATCAATTTATTTGCGGATTCTATTTTTTCAATGCGGTAGCTTTTTTATCAATATTCACTTCACTGGTTCTCAAATTTAACACTTGTCGTTTTATTTTTTATACAGACATTCATTTCATGATGAAAATATTGTGGGCAATTTATTTGGAGCGTATATCATTCTTAGTTTGCATCTACACTTTGATGTAAGTAGAACTTTTATATTCTACTTTCCCTAAAGTCTAAAATATCTCTAGCTGTAGAAAATTAGAAATATAATTCAGGTCATCCAGAAATTGTACATATATATGCTAAGGCAGTTTAGTATTCAAGATGTTTATTTGGTTGGGAAAAAAATACAACTTAATAATGGTAACCATGTGATAGATCTATCGTCGCAAAAAAGCTATCCTTGTCTAAATCCTTGATTTTGAAAATCATAAAATTTTTTTTAGTGATTGCTGATCCTAGCATACTGAGCTTCTTTGTAAGTAAGTTACCTATTGCTAATTAAGACAGCAGTATCCGCATCGTTTAATAATATGACATTCGTGTTCATATATAGTTCGGTGCAAATAATTAAAAAAAAAACTATATATAAAAGTTCTTAATAAAAGGTAAGCTTCAAGTATTCAAAGGCAATGCCCAAAAATGAATAATCTCTTGAATAATAAATATCGTATAAGTTCGTGAAACTGTATAAAAATAACGTTTCTCCAGGTTGTCAAGGATTTCTTGAAATAATAGTCTTCTATAACAGCGCTTCTCGAACTTTTTTATACTGTCGACCCCTTACAGTACCTCATACATTATCATTACCCCTCAGAAATACAATGAATTGCAAAGTTACAAACAAATTTATCGACAGTCATTTAAACACCGTAGATCTGTGGCTCTTTATCCTCTGGATCTCGTGATTCAAATTGGTTACAGGCTGTAACAGCAGTTTTCTGTTAGAAGTATTAAGATTTAAAGAAAGGGAAAGCATAAAACCAACCCTGTGTATGAATATTTTGTCGAGTTTGTGCTGCAAGCCTGCAAAGCAAAATAAAAATTTTGTTTTTGAATATTTATACTAAAAATGAGTAGTTCAGGGTCTGTATTTTTCAATGTTATGAAGGCTTTTTTAGCAAATGTAGATGCAAAAGCAGGACTTTTAAATCATCTTTCCAGGCTTTTCTGCTCTGTTATAGTTATTTTGTAACCTTAGTTATGTTTATCCAACAATATGCTGCATGGCATGTCACATCTCTGTCTAAGCAAGTCGTTGGTATTAAAAAGTGTTATTGGTAGGGATGGCCAGAACTAAATAATCTACTATCACGAATACTCACTTCTCGAAATAATGTATTGTGTGGTTTCATAAAAATATGCTTTTACACTTTATTTGGTGAGTGATTTAGCATTTGATTTTGTGGAAACTTAAAAATATTTACTAGGTTCACCAGGTTTAGTAGACTATGTCGTTATGTCAGTCTGGACAGCGGAATGTCCATGCATCCGAAAACAAATAACTGACTATTTCCTGACCTGGACTTGTAACCGGACAAGGAGCTGCGTTTTTTTTGCCATATGATTAAGCCATCTTATTCCCTTTCCTCTCTCTCGGAATAAATATGAAAATTACTTTTATTTCAGTAGCCAAAGAGTGTGTTTGGGTGTCTTGCGGCATTGATCTAGCTCCACTCTGTTAGATTAGATCATTACACATGTAAGCTGACTGGGTAAGGGGAGCTTTTACGATTTTTATCTTATCAATTGTGTGACTTATATTTATGATTTGGATGCGCACACAATAGATAGCCTATCTGTTAGAATAGTCAATATTTATTGGGTCATCGAATCTTTCTTCGGATGACCCAATAGTGCAATTACATGTTTACACGCATTTCACATATTTACCATGAAAATACCTTTGCTGAATCGGATTCTAGTCAGTCTGGTTTTCATGACAAGTGTGCGATTTGGTAGCGCTGAAGGTAGGACAATGCATGCGAGCGAATGCAGAGAAAAATCACAATAAAAAATATTGAGTAATACAGTCACTATAATAATTTAATTAAAGGAGCTAACATTACAAAGTGACACATCATAGAGAACACGCACCTTTCGAATCCTCATATAAACGCCAAAACTAAGTCTCACTGACAACTAAATGAGCCTCACTTGCAACGCTACTTTTTTGTGCCAGGATTCCGAAACTTGCATTTGTATGGCACTGCTTACATGGCGAAATTTTCTAATGGGATTCAGGAAATGGAATTCTGATTTGCCGCCCAAATTTTGTGAAAAAGGTCATGGAAGCGACTGTGGATTGGATCTGCCGCAATCGTTCAATATAATTTCAAGAGCAAGATAATTATTGAACTTATACTCGAAACAGATAATAACAAATGCAGTAAGACAGACGCAATCCACTGTTGCTTGACGATAATCGGCGATCACACACACAAAGGAAAATAACGAATAATGATATACAGTAGAGTCCGACGTAAAAATGTACCAATGTATCGGTATCGGCCATTTTTTCGATATCGGCTCAAAAATGAACCGATATATGCAGCTCTCTGATCTCATCCAGTATGCTTTGAACTATGAGTTATTATAGTGGGTGGACGTGGAACATGCATGCGTCATTTACTGCCTCATTCAATTCATTACAGTTAGTATAGTGGTCGGGTGATTGCCCATAGATGTTCATTGCGTGGTGCGCTTGTGCACAACGAAATGTCTGCTATAATTTGCCTAATGGGAGTGCTAATCATCTTTGCATACCTACAAAGATGAAATGCATATTACGATGCACTTGGTTCAAGTATTTTAATAAACCAATAGAAGTGAGTCTAGTGACACATTATTGATACATTCGAATAAAAAAAAGGATTTGAAGTTTTTGGGATAAGCGCTGCTTTAGAAGAAATAATGTTCACTGTAAATACTATTCGCAGACAAATATTTTGTCCCGTTTCGACCACTCAACAAAATTGTATTTACATTGATGTAAATTACGTGTTTTTAGAATATCGCTGATGTCGACAATTTCAAATATCGGTATCAGTGCCTTTTCATTGACATCGGTGGATCTCTAGTTCAAAGTGTAGAGCACTGCAACAGAAATAACTAAATTTAATTTTTGTAACACTCGGTTCAGTGCCTTTTCATTGACATCGGTAGATCTCTAGTTCAAAGTGTAGAGCACTGCAACAGAAATAACTAAATTTAAATTTTTGTAACACTATGAGAATCGCTGTATAGACAATAAAGACACAATGCTATTTCGAAGCCGATTATAAACAAACAACAATCTTCTTATAAGAACGTTGGTCAGATAGCGTGAGAATTAAATATGCAATTATAGTAAATAACGAAATCCACTTTATGGTATTACGCATACCTCTTCATATGAGTCCTGAACAAGTTATTGATCATTGAAAACTTTTTATATATACAAATTTTAGTGGTTCTCACCCCGTTAAATTGCGCAGCCTGTGTTACTCACAAGTAAATTACTTCTTCCTACATCTAAAGGCAAAATTTATATTCCATGTAAAATTCAGCTCTTCTCCGTGGGTAACATAACTTGGAGTAACAACCGCTTCAAACAAATCAGCAACGTGGAAAAACTGCGGTTTCGAAGTTCCATGATATCCCGGATCAACTTGGAAACCAAGCCATTTGGGGATTGAAGTATATCCAGGATTGTAACCATGAAAAGATCTTGCATTGTAAATAGCTTGCTTTAAATCGGTAATAAGGCTGTAAGCTATTTGCCAATGCGAAGACCATCATAACAACACGCTCTAAAGCAGGTAATACTTGAACAAAACCCCACTTAAAATCAGTTTGCGGCGGGCTCGACAGTTCGATGAAGCGATGTGGGCGGGATTTGTACGCTGCTGCTCTAGTGTTCGTAACTATATATTTTGCCTGCTGAACAAATGTCAATATTGCAATATTTTTTTCCGTGTACTCAAGGTTCGGGATGTATTTCATCAACCGGGTACCTTCCAATCCAACCCACACCCTTTTCGGCAAGACCAAGCTGTTTATCGGTTATTTACAAATGAATATAAACGATATAATTAATTACACTATGATTACACAGGAGTGTGTTCACTTGATGCGTCTTTATCTCTAAGTCCAACCCAACAGTCTGGCATTTGATATAGGTTAAGATCTGGAAGCTTCGCTAGCTTAAAAAATATTTTAAAACTATCGTTGAATTTTAGTTTGTTAAACTTAATCGTTAGTAGTTACAATTTGCCCCTGTTGCTTGTGCTGTGCCAGTGAAATATCACCTATTTGATATATAAAATGACATTGCTATGCATACATACAGAGTCATTTTTCTTTTTCATCAAACTTGAAACCCTGTCTTAATGTTTTTTCGACCAATACACATATATGAAATTAACTTAGCAAAAATAGAAAACCCAACAACGATAAAATACAATAAGCTCTTTTGTAAACAGATCCAACTACATTCAGAATTTTTTCTATACTTCTCATTTTATTTACGACAACCGATCCATATACCTTGCAAGAATTGCTACTTTGGTCGTTCTGAATCGCCGTCGTCTACCTCCCGACTTTACGTCATTTCAACCATAGCCTATTATTTAGTGCAATTATGCGTAATTTTCTAGAATACGTGATGGAGTCGAAGGCAACGATATTTCAGGATCGAGTTTCACAACCGGTCAACAGCTTTGCTTCGTGTATTTATTTAATCGTGTAATTATCCGCCTTCTCAACTCGTTCAATCTGTCTGTTCTAATTTTGTTAGAAATAGCTAAAGCGACCGTGTCAGAAAGTTATTTCTAGATGTGACTTTAAGGCAGCAGATTTAATCAATCGACAAGACCGGAAACTACATGCACAATGTTGAAGCGAACTAACTTCTTTCTAACAAGAAAAAGACTTTCAATTATGTTGATGTTTAATCCATAACAAAGCAATGTTAACCACAAGCGAACAGAAAACAGAATGACAAGTTATCGTAAGAAAAGCACGTAAGTAATCATGCGTGACAAAAACATAAACAAAACAATTGTGTCTCATAACGGCTATTAGTTAAGTGGTTCGCCACAATGTCAACAAAAAGTTGCATTGGTTAACAAGCAACGCTCCACTTCTGTGATAATAATAATTCTATGTTCGGCATAATATGCAAACAGCCATACATTAACCGAATTATCGACAGATTACGTGCGTATGGCTTCGAAATATATTTAAATTCCCCGTATAGTAATACCACGTACAAAGTTATTGGGTCGTCATATCGCCAGCGGCTTATTACAGAAAATTAATCAAAAGAATTTGTTGGCGTTATAAGAACCGAATCTAGACGAGATAGCAACTGAGAAATTATGTAAATATTTTAAATCTCCAAAATATTGAATGTGCTAAAAGGCGACCAACAAAAATCTTAACGTTTCACTGTCATTGTAATGATCAGATAAATTGATAGAGTATTCGTGGAGGTATTAGCAACTGAAGTTGAAAAGATTTTTCATACCAGCTAAGATAGCAAAAATATCATTATAGATATGTTGAAATAGTATGCAGAAGTACAATATTGCACTATACTATAAATGTTATTTTCATTTACCTTCAGGTTTAATTTCAAACTCTGGTGCTGAAACCTTGCCATGTATATGCAGACATAAAGGCAGTTAAGAGTGATAAAATTGATACTATAAATACTAATATATATATTTGATGAATAATATTGATGAGACTCTCAATAATGAAGTGGGGTCGGTCTCCAGTCGAGCGTATATTTTTCTCTCTTCGTTGGCTTTCCTTTTTTCGGTAAGAAATATATAGTCATTTGCGAATAGCTGTAGGATTTTCAATTGAGACTTAAATCTAACAAAGCATTGCATAATTAGTAGCAAGTATTGGCAAAAATATAGAATCGTATATATACTAAACAATACAAAATCGCATAGTAATGAATATTTTAAACAAAAATCTGACAAAGTATAATTATTTTTTATTATTTAGTTGTCGAAACCCCCTGATGTGATTTTATTGGTGTTTTCTGCTGCGCCGTCGACAGCCTTTGATGACAATCCACACGCTCAGGGCGCAGAAACCATTGTGTCCCAGGTAACGTAGTTTCATTTTATTAAGTGAACAATCTAGGGATTTCCCGTTTTTTTTTATATACATTGATTCAGTAATTCACGTATTTTGGGATCATGTTATGTAAAATTTGATTTTCAACTAATATTCGAAATCACTATAGTTAGTCGTTATGCTTTCTTTATTGCAAAAATACTTTAGTGGGATTTGACTGAAGATCGCAGTTGGATACCAGGCTTCCTTCATTCAATTTTTTACGTAGGTTTTATGCCTGGGACTATCGTTTTTGGACAATTATCCGATCGCTACGGAGGAAAGAAAATTTCGGTTATAGGTGAGAAAATTTATTTGCGACTTCTGCGATTTTAAAGTAATTAAAAAGAGCATTTGAAATATATTTTCAGGATACATATTAGATATCAGGCTTCCTTGTTGGCGGTTTAAGTGTTGTGACAACTATACTTATACAAGAAACTACGGGATCGAAGCTTTGGGTCCTGAACGGTGAGTACAAATGACTCCAATTCCATTTACTGGTACAACAGGAATTGCTTATATGACTTTCATATGATTTTAATCCAAAATGAATAAATAATAATTGCGAAAACCAATAAGCTCGACAACAGCTATAGGACTGAATGAATCTATTTTCAGGTGCTCTCGGTGCAATAGGATTCACCGCAAATATGTTAGCGTTTCTATGGGTTGCCTATCTTTATCCTAGTTGGAGACAAATGTATTTTATTACAACGATACCTGGAATTCTTGGATTTGTGTTTTTATAGTAAGTGAAAAAATACGTTAGTGAATATATTTAAAGATATAAATCGCATTTTCTCAATATTGATAAAATATGGCAAAGTCCGAGGGAAAGCGAATGGATCTCAAGCTTTCATATCGAGGATGTTTAATTTTTTGTATTATTTAAGGATGGTGAATTGGATATAGCATTGTGAAATATTTATATATCCCGTGCTAGTTCTGTCGAAATGCCAATATTTTCAATACTGCTAGTCCATACATTAGTAAAGTTTAAGTGCATATTACATGAAATTGATGCAGAAATTTAGCTTAACACCTTTCAGCATTGTCCCAGAGTCGCCGCGTTGGCTGTTGTCTCGCGGTAAACCAGACAGCGCAGAAGAAGTGATGCAAAAACTATCAAGGTGGAATGGATCGCCCCACACAGGTATTTTATATTATATATATATATATGTGATTATGAACAAATATTTTGGATGCCCGCAAATTTGAATATCACTCAAAGATATTTGCTTACGAAAAACAAAAAGTAAATCACATGTGTAATTGCTGATACGTAAATTCTCCTATAATATGATTCTAATATTTCAATAACGCTTGATAATTATTATTAATATATTAAGAATATGCTCTTCTGCCGGGGAACGCGTAAGAACGCCAAGATGAGGGACATCAAAATGAAAGTACGTATATATCAAACGCAGATTAAATAATTCTAGATATACGTTTTTTTTTGAAACATTCTCACAAATGAAATTCACAAACACAGAATCTTCTAACCAGTTCAGAAGATTTTAGAACAGCTATCTTGCCAATGTCGACATCAATAGAGATGAAAACGTCAATGAAGGCACGAGATGGAATTATTTTAAACTCGTTTTAAATACCGTTCCTGGATGAAGTCAGATCTAGATGAACACTTGAATGAATGTCAAGATATTATATTTTTAACTTCCCAAAAGAAACATTTACATCATAGGACAGAATTGCTGAACAGTTGCAAATGTAGGGATTAAACAGAATCCCCAGGATTGACTGACCAGAGTGTCGTTGACCTACTCTGACTCGTAATCTCAAGCCCACGCTTTACCTCTCAACACCCACGCGAATGAATAGACGTTAAAACCTCTATTTGATTTCATTCGTAGTTTTTCACGATATACAGAATACAATTTTAAAACTTCTTAAAACTAGAATCGGCTCACATTGAAAATCTATTGAACGGTATATATGCACGTTGATCAAATAACGAATTAACATTGAAAACGTGACCTCGTGATTCACGCCATGAACAGAAACTCTTTTTAATTAACTCTATACGGGTAATTATGTACGTCGTGCGGATGGGATGTGTTTAAAATTTCTGAGAAAATGATATGACACAACGAAGTTGTTCTTGGAAGCTAAAGTTGTGTAACTTGTTCCTACGAAACTTAAAAGTTCCTACTAAACTTTAAAGGTTATATTTCACTAGATCGTCTAATGCTACAACAAAATTATGAATATGCACAACAAGAGCAAGATGCCTCAAGAGACGAGGAAGGCTCAATTATAGATTTGATAAGAAAACCTGTAATGCGATACAGAGCAGCCATTTTAAGTTTACAATGGTATGTATAATTTTGCATAGCTAAAATTGACATAATAACATCCGTAATGTGTATCTATACGACCAATCTAAATGAGAGTTATACCGAAAGGAAATAGATTGGACAAATATTGTTCGAGTATTTATATAAAAAAAATAGCCATGTGTGAAATCCGTCTTCATTGTATATCCGGTTAGGTTTGTCTATCTTGACTCAAATCACGTTGTATTTTCAAGTTCACCGCAAGTTTTGTATTTTACGGCATAACACTTGGTTCTGGATCTTTTAGTTCAAATTTTTATGTTGCATATTTAATATCGGGATTGAGTCAGCTTCCATCAATACCCTTTACGATTTATCTTATGGAGAGAAGATGGTAAGCCAATACCATAACAGGAAAAAATCTCGAACTCACCATTTGTTTTGAACTTTCATAAAAATCACGTAGTCAAAATCTGGGACTGACAGGCTGATAACTTGAATGAGTCCACCAAAAAAAAACATCTATTCGTTCTACTGGTAAAAATTAACCTACAAAATAACCGCAAAATAAAGCGAGAATCGTTGAAAGTGAATGAACGAACAGATCATATGACCTTGAAAATGAGTAAAGGCATCGTGGTGAAATTATAAACCGGCCGCGGGATTATATTTATATACTGATATATTTGACTCCATAAAAAATGGCCACATCCATAGAAAATAAGCAGCAATGCTATATTATTAGTATATAACGCAAGAAATTGAAGAGGTGTTGCTAAGTATACTCAGTTGATTGTATTTGTTCAATTCTTATCCCCATGTATATATATAGTTTTAATCGATTTACTCAATACAGGGCTGGTAGAAGACGAACGCTGGTCTGCTTCATGGGTTTAGCTGCACTGTGTATGTTCGTCATGTACATCGTTTCCTTCGGCCAAGGTAATTTCAAATATTTACCTGAGAATAGCAACCTTACAAATTTGAAAATATGTTTTTTAATGTAATTACTTGGATGCCTACTGAACAGAACAGTTTTCGTTAAGTCGAAATGATGCTTGCGGACACACAATAAAGTGCTGTTTACGAAATTCTATAACATAAACAGAATTTCAGGCCAAATAGTCTGTCATGAAAATATACATTTAAAGATTCGGACGAAAGTAAAGTACATAATACATAAAGCGGGGCCTGGTTGGAGCAATTTAATTAACTGCTCTTCCATGTTAAATCCAGTTTTAATTGATCAAATGTATTTTAATTATATAGTGTAAGATTTGTCTCAAATGACTATAATACATACGTATTATAAATTGCTGTAACTGGAAGATAATCTGTTTAACTGGAATTAGCTATAGCCGATTGAATGAATTTTTTTATTTCTTGTTAGACATCGTAAAAAATTTTTGATCTTTCATAGAGCTTCAGCCTTCATAAACCATCCCGTTTCAGTCGACAACAAACCCGACCAAGATTTTTTTGGTAAAAACAATAACATTACTTTACTAAAATGTAAATCTGGAAATAAATGTAGATAAACAGAAAGATTAAATTACCGTTTTTCATTCAGATCGCTCAAACTACAAATTGACACTTTTGGTTTTCGGAAAACTGGGAATCTGCGGAGCTTTTGATCTTATTTACGTATATACTGCAGAACTCTTTCCAACAGTTGTGAGAAACGTTGGACTGGGCTCAATGTCGTTCTGGGCAAGAGTTGGTGGTGTAATTGCTCCATTTTTAGCAAATCTTGCGGTAAGTTTTTTATGAGAAGTACTATTGTGCAGCATCTGAAAGGTAACGGAACAAATATATCGTTGTCGTTATTATTGGACACGTTTAGTGGACATAACGATCGTTTTGTTGTTATGTTGTTCTTGTTCTTGTTGTTATTTGACACTTTTTGGACACCTAGTGGAAATATTAAAAAACCGCTTTTCTCTTTGATCACTGGACCAATTGCTTTGAAATTTTTAGTGGTTAAAGATGGAATTTTTCTCTAGAAGGCTATTACTTTTATTTATTTCAAATATTTCTGTTAGCTCTGTGAGATTTGTTTTTGTTTGCTATGACGTCACCGAATGTTCTGCGGGCATTGGACGCCATTTTGTGTCCTACTGTACTGCTTCGCTTGGTGTGAATATTTTTGTAGACTGTGATCTGACGGTACGGAAACCGTACTGTACTGCGAACAGACGTGTCCATATATTTGGGCGTAGCTCTCTTGTTATCGTTTTGTGATTACTTTTTCATTTGAAGGTGTTTTCTGGATCGAATGACCCATTTCTTGCTTTGGTATTGTGGGATTATTGAGCAGTGTTTTTGCCCTTTCCTCCCTGAAACCCGAGCCAAGTTAATTCCGAACACCTTTGAAGAAGCGGAGCTACAAGAAGAAGACAACGACGAAAATAGTTGTAATTCGATAACATGCTAACATTGACTATGTCTTCTACACTAATTGAATATAGTTATTGTGTATCGTCTTGAATAAATTATTGTTTATCGTGTCTTTTCTTATTTTTGTTTTTCGGAATTGAAAAAAACGGCACGACGAACTTTGACTTGACTTTTCATAACGCAAATTAGCCGTTAGAGACAAAAATCAAGTTTTATTCTTCAAACTGCTAACAAGTGCCAACGGCCAACCAAAGCAAACGAATATTTAAGGAAATGGGTCAATAACCAAGAGCAGTTGCCCAGCCTTCCCACACAAGCAGACCTGTATCATCAAATAAAACGTACAGGCGGACTACGATAGCAATTTTAATAATAACACGAAAGAAACAGAAGAATACAAAAATTAGATCAAACTGCATTTCAAAGGTCATGTCATGGCTGATTTCGCTATTGCTATGATTTTAAGCAGTACGAGCGCGGCCCCTCAATTTTTCAACTCAAATAGAATAATATGGCGCGGCGTTGTGGATCATCATACGCTCGCGACCGCATCTCTGATTACTCTGCGGGATTCGCAGGTTCGAATTCCATGCGGGGATAATTGTGTGCAAGAGGATTGCTGGACTCATCGCGACTTCCTCTACCATCAAATCCATACTACCGAAAACAAATACCGTAACTAACTAATCCCATACCCGACATGGAATGGTAACCGGACGAGAGGCCGTGGTTTGCCATATGGTTAAGCCGTCTTGTCGACTTTCCTCTCCCCAGGGATAAATATGTAAATCCTATAACATACCTTCGGAGATCAGATTGGCGAACATTTTATTCCTCTTAGACAAGCGGTCGGCAACCTGCGGTTCCTGAGCCGCATGTGGTGTGTTGTTCTTTGGCTCCCGTGAATCAAAGTGGCGGCTACAGCAGATTTTTCTTAGAAGCAGTGGGGATTAGGGTTAGTTCGGATACCTATAATTTTCACTATCCGGATAACGGATATATCCGGGTATTCCGTATTTTAAATATACGGTTAACCGGATAGTTACTGCTGATTTTAGAGAACCGATTTCGCAGGATTTTCGCGGTGAATTAAACGAATACCACCACACAGTTCTGTTGTAAATATTCACATATGTATTATTTTTCTTGAATATGAATTATTGTGCATTTTAATATTGCATGTGTCAATAAATAATAATTTAAGCTCAGTAGTCGTACCGATGTACAGCGGAATAATAAAATGAAACATTTTTTGAAAATATTGTGTCCTAATTTTTTTCCCCCAACTGCTAAGTTATTTTACCTATTCAAATAATATGTAAAGATTTATATTATTTCGACTTTATTGTAAAGTTTTTTGACAGTTTCTTTTTGTGTCTAGAGCCTCTTTTCTTTAAATTTTGACTCGTACTAAATTTTAGTGTCGCAGACTCACAATGATCATTTCTGATCATCCGCACCTTCCTATCAATTGCAATGAAATTCAATATTGTCATGTGTATAGTATTAGATAAAAAGATAAACTTAAAGATAAACTTTTATAAAAAAATATATTGTCAAGCTGATTATAGATGGAGTCAAATGCCAAAATGCCCAACCAAAGTTGCCAGAATTGGGTGCATGAAGAGGTGGGCTAGACCACTTCATTGCCCAAACTAGAGCCTATTATTGCCAAATTATAGTCCAGATTGTAATAAGTATTTAAATCTATCAGTAACTTTATAAGTATGAGTAATTATAATTAATTAAGGTAGAAAGACAGGGTATAGGAATATGTTGGTTGCTAAGGTTATAAGGTTTTTTTTTTCCATTCTTAGATATTGACTTCTGCAAGGATAGAGGAATTAGGAATAAAGGAATTAGTATTGTTATTTCACAGGATCATTTCTTCATTTAATTATTGTGGCGTAATAGATGTCAATTCAAGTTTATCGTGGATAAGACATCAGCCTGCGAATTTTGTTGTTGTAGACACCATTTATATTCAATAAACTAGCCATTGTATTGATCATCATTGACACCATTTATATTCAATAAACTAGCCATTGTATTGATCATCACGGAACGACCTGAAAAACAGAAAATAAATCTGCGAGTAGGATATTCAAAGGTTACATATTTGGAAACAGCACTACCCTACACTTTTGTTTAGAATTAATTATTATTTCGAGTAGATATTGATTATTAGTTATCTATCTTTAAAAACGCTAGTTCAAAGACCAGAGTTGAAATATGGTTGGGACACAGGGTGAATTCCTCGCAAACCATGCAGAAACTCTCAAACCACCCTGACCATTCGTATGTTGGCCTTCACATTAACTTCACAGCAGAACGTGTTTCTAAGCCCCGGAATTTGTCAATTTGTAAGTCGTATTTTTCATGTTTGTTTTATTTATTTAGCTAATATTTGGAGTGATGATCATAAATTAGATTAAATTGTGTGTAATTACTGGAATAAACTGACTCATCGATGTTCATTAATACTGCGATAATGCAATAAAGTCAAAGCAACAAATGTTGGATGAACAATTTGGGATCGGGCTTTTTAAGTATTTCTGGTGTTACTAGCACATTGGATCACACGATATCACTCCACATCATAGTTAGGTGATAGCACCGCTTATTACCTACATATTGGATTTAATCTAAATTTGACGTGTGCAACACTAACTGAACTAAACTATTAGACTATGGCATCTACAAATGATGAACCTACACAAGCATTCAAGCAGCAATGTGAAGTACATTCTCAAAATGTGGCAGATCTATGTCACGAACTGTCAACACTTCTATCCGATATTAAGAACAATGTACTTGTCGTAAAAGTCAAAGAAAATTTGGACATTGCATTAAATTCATGGCAAACATTGCAAAAATATATTTCTCCTGGAACTGATGGTGCATCTGTCCCGGTTGCATAAGAAGAAATTGAAACGGCTAAATTACAACTGGCAAGGGCTGAAGAGACTCAAAGGCTGTGGGACATAAAATACCAGAGATATTTAGAGTCTTGTGTGACATCAAGTCGAAGTAAATCACACAAAAGTAAAAAATCTCGTCACTCTCATCAATCTCTTTCATCAATGTCATCTGTTTCAAGTCTAGCAAAGGCACGTTTAATTGAACTAGCAGCTGCTGAAAAAGTTGAGCAAGCACAAGCACAGTTGGCTCAATCTAGACTACAAGCAGAATTCAATCAACGTCAAGCTGAATTGCAACTCGAAATATCCTTGAGAAATGCCCAGCTACAAATGGAAAAAGCTCAAGTAATAGCTACAGCAAGTAGTGTCCGATCTTCAAGGCATAGCTTCCGCCATTCGCAAACTACTAGCATCTCACCACCACCTGTGTTACAAATCAGAGACTACGCTGTGGATTCTATCCCTGTTACATCACAAAGTGTTTTGATGCACCCTGTGTCTAAC